TGGTTTGAGTCACTGTAAACTCCGTTAAATGAAACGTAACTGAAATATTAATTCCACCTCACATGATCTCTCGCAGGATGATAATAGTTAAATTCACCTAAGATATAAATTCACAGTTAATATTGAATTTTCAATAGAGCTTGCTTGAAGAACTGAGAAACTATTGTGGCGTAGACCTGTTGCCGCTCATCACAGCGGTCTCGCGGTCTAAGTCGTATATCGTCTCCGGCCGCTCGAACACTGGCATCGTGTGTTCGAATCCCACTAGAGCCATGTGTGTCTGTGTCCGTTTTTTCTTTGCTTGCGCTGTTCTGTTTGCAGGTAGCGGCCTTGAGGCGGGCTGATCCCCCTTCCAAGGAGTCCTATCGATTCTGTATAGGATTAAGAAACTGAAAATCTGCCATGGTCCAAAGGACTGTAGAACCATAAAGAGAGATAGATAGATAGACCCGTTGCTAAGCGGTGACTGTAAAGAGCGACAGTTTCTGGGCAAAAGTTCGGTAAACACGTTCCCGTTGCTAGGCAGCGCATTCTTAATAATGCAACAGTTGGCCTACAACAATGGAAACGGGATGTTTCTACGTGGTCTTTGCCGAAGACTTATAAGCAAGGGACAAAGTCAGCGGATAATGACTTCTGTACGGGAAGCTCTGAAGAAAGGACTCGAGGGCGTGAAGCTGAAAAACCTCCTCTGTTAGAAACCGTTGTCATGGAATGCCTGGTGAAGACACAAAATGCTGGAAAACGGCTTAGCAGGTGCTGTGGTGATTTTGGAATTGCGGAGGTTAGCAGTGGCGCTGTAAGTACTTGTATTTACCTGTCGTGAATATAAGTGGCAAGTAAATCCATTCCCCAATACAAACTCCGTCTGTAGTCACTCAAACTTGCGACAATATCTATTCACAGAAACCTCAGTGGAATTAAACCCCTTTCTCAGAGATAAAAATGAAAGAAAAATAGGTTAGTTTTGTAATCCACTATCACGATTGGACAGTTAACTTTCATACGAACATTATTTCGTTAACATCTTCATGAAAGCCTAGCCCGATTTTCAAGCCCCTTACACTGACAAATGTTTTGGGCTAGTTTCCATTCGGAGAGACCGCAGATCTTCAGCCGGAAACAGATTGTCATCTCAGCGTCTCCTTATTTACTAGAAAACGCAGACAAAAATGGAGAAATATTCATACATGCGGTGGGATTAAAAAATATCTGAGTTTGTAGGCATCCGGCAACCAGCATCCCACCAGCGTTGCCACCGGAATCCAGAGCCCCACCATTTGCTGTCAATAGCTATATTCCGGATGCTAAGAAGTGTACGATTCAGAAATGACAGTCGGAATTCAGTAAGGTGTAATCAAATGACCTTGATGTGTAAGAAAGCGTTCCGATTGCATTCCAGGCCACCATTGCTGAATCATAACTCAGAGCAGGAAGTTTCATAACGTAAAATAAAAAGATGAAAGACCTTGCTATGTTGTACACTCAGGAAGTTCAAGGTTTTGTTTGTCTTGAGCTAGTTGAGACACAGAATGAATTTTTATTTTGTAAGGTGGCTCCACGGCTTTGCGCTTCGCGGCGACCGGTGCACCGAAGCTGCGAGGCGCATAAAATTTTGCCGAATAATCAGAATGTCCGACGGCCGGTAACATTCGTCATTAGGTAGTTACAACACACAGATCACAGGATATTTTTCACAATTAATTGTTTCGTTTAAAAAACGGAGGTACAATAATTTTCCTTGCACTTACAGCACACCAGGCATCAACTCTCTTTGGATGGAGCGGGACTTCGTGGGTCACATGTAGATTCTGTCAACTCCAGTTCCGAATATTTTGCGTATTTCTGTATCCCTCGAAATGCAACCACGCTCCATCAGAAAATGTCAATTGCGGATCGACCTCTTGTGAACGACCGACTGTAGAAACCAACTGCAAAAAATGAACCCTGCTAGCTGGATCGTGCGGCTACAAGGCGTGGATCACTTTTAATTTATTGGGTCTAAGCTTGATCAAGCCGGTCACGGTAGCCGAGCGGTCTAAGGCATGCACTGTCTTCGCTCGCGCTGAAACCGGGATCGTGGGTTCGAATCCCACTCAGGGCATGGATGTTTTTGTGCGTTTCTTTGTGTTTGTCTATAGGTAGAGGCCGTGCGACGAGCTGATCACTGGCCCAAGGAGTCCTACCGTATGGGTAAGATCTAGAAAAACCGAAATGAACGGAGTTCATGGAGGTAGGCCTAAGCCCACTGGGGCTGTAGTGCCAAGGGGGAAAAAAAAGCTTGATCAACTGTGTTGAGGTTCTTGCACTGGGCTTTGACATTCCACCTTCCGGACTTCGACGTTTCTGATTTTCTAGGCATATGCTCAAATCTGGTTCCTATGTCATAGAACTTCCCCTCAATAAGCACTAGGCTCTTATATTCTTGTCTCTTGTCTATTATGACTCCTGTTCTTTTAAATTTGTTCACCAAATTATTAATTGTTTGTATGCTGTGAACTTTTTCGTCACGAAATTTACGTCGACACTTTCTACAAGATTGATATTTCACATAGAGAAATACACATTGCTCTAAAATATGCAGGACCATGACGTACCATACTGCTCGCTAATTCTAACTGAGAACAAATGGCTAATGGAGCTGACAACTGCTACCAACTGGTGATAAATCATAAACAAAGTCCCACAAATTAATAGACAGAATTTGTATGAGCCTCGAAGCAAGCGGAGCGCCTTTTGCCGTTAAGCGAAAAGCCGTGAACTGATCAACAAAGTTAAAAAACTCTCTGTACAAGTATGAGAGTGCACATCCTAAACACAAGATTCATATTTTTTTATGAAATTGAAATTTGAGAGCTGCATCAGCCAATAAAACAATGGGAAATGGATACAGAATTCCACATCAAATGATATACCTGTTTCTTCCAAGCCTCTGTTATGTATCTTTATGGTATGCATCCTGTTGTTTATAGTTCACTAAAGAATTCGATTTGAGGCAGTCTACACAACAGTAAGATCAGAAAATAAACAAGCCAGACACTAACACGTCAACATCTGCTTCATTTTTCTGTCGAATACTTCGCTACATGTTTCGACCCTTATCTGGTTCGTCCTCAGGCGTAAATGAATACTTGGTGTTAGATTTGATTTGTTTCATTCTGGTCCGTCACACTAACAATTATAAATACAAACCACTCCGTCCAGTGTGACATATAAGTTTTTACTACATGAAAACTTATCTCCCTTACATGTTTCGGTCCGTACGGACCATCTTCATAGGGAACATCATTATGAACTGGTGTTAGTTAGTGAGTTGCGTCATTTATTCAATATGAATTCACATTTTGTCTATATTGTTACACAATCCTAATAACACACTTTGAAATGTAAAATAGTTAACACTTGACATACATAATATTCAACGGGTAACAAAGTAAATTGAAATTAAAATATATAAAATTGAATTTAAATTTTTAATTCCTAGTTTTTGTAATCATTGCATATTGTAATGCGGATGGCCAGAGCGTTTCTATATAACGAAATATAAACAACTTTCAGTCGCGTAAGTGCATTCAACAATAGGATGAATGTTTCTGGTTCGTTGCCTAGAAACGCTATGGCCATCCACGCTATGGTTGCGTGACAATAACTTAACGTGTGATGATATTTTCACGTGATAGTATTGATACTGTGACATGGAGAACTGCGTGCTGAGATCTTTCTGTACGTTTCTAGGTCGTGTTGCTTTTTAGAAAGTTTCGAAGGCGGAGCTTTGAGGTAGATAGATGGGTTAAAGCTGATGTTTTGTTAACACACCCATGTCCGGAAACGCTTTGTTTACGCGCTGGGGCCTCTGATATGCGAAGGAGGACTCCCTCACCGCTTACCTCTGCAGCTTACAGATAACATTTACCTAACATTTCTCCAAGAGACCTTACCGAGCTGCTGGAAGCGGTGCCTTTGAAAGTCCGTCGTGAAATGCGGTTCCAGCATGATGGCGCCCCGGCACATTGCACTAATGTTGTCCGTGAGTATTTGGATGAAACCTTTGGCAACAGATGGATTGGACGTGGAGGGCCAGCAACCTGCCCCCCCCCGGTCCCCTGATTTGACTCATTGGATTTCTTTCTTTGGGGGTACATGCAAAGCCTTGTGTACGAGACTCCAGTGGAGACACGACATGATCTTGTGGCAGGAATTGCAGTAGCAGCTGGAACCACCCGAAAAATGCCAGGACTCTTTCAGAGTTCAGCATAACATAGACTAGCGGTGCGGCCGCCATTTTGAGCAACTTTTATAGTGAAAAACAACGATACAATCCCTTAAAAAGTATGCATCCTCTTGGAAAATTTTGTGTCCCTTAGTGCCAAAAGGAAGCGTTTCCGGACATTGGTGTGTTCAGAAAATACGAAGAGATTGAATCGTTCTATGTACCACAGAGCACTGTAACATATACTTCGTCATACCTGTATATGGCAGGGATGTTCAGGGTTTTATATAGTGTATATATACAGTTTCTGCGGTTCTGTCTATTTTCTGTGCTTCTTGTTCTGTGGACTGCCTCAGATCATATTCTGTTACTGTGTTATACAGCGTTACACGACCGTGTTTCTCACATAATAGTTATGAACGAGAACAATTGGATGTTTTGTCTAAACAAGTCTTTGTTATGCCGCATTCTTCCTGTTGTTACGTGAGTTCTTGTATTGATTAACTATCATCTTGTAATTGTTGTGTATTACGCGTAAAACACACACATTACATTACATAATTTTTCCGCTCCTCGATGTTACATAATGGTTCATTATGTCAAGAACTAGGAATCTTCCGTAACGTGCATGGGGGACTTTGTTTAGGGAATTAAGCTTTATAATATGTTAATTAGGATATATTAGAACCATTTCGTCATTAGTAAATGTATATTTGATTCTTTCGCTATCACGGTTATCTCGCAAAAAGCTGTATTCAGTTAACGAAGTGTACTGGGGCGAATTGCGAAATGGTAATAGTTGTAGCATGAATGTAATTATATGCCTTATGTTCCAATTATTTATGTCATAACGAAGGGTACTAAAGTAACGGGAATTTAGCATAAATATCAGTCGAGGAACGTCAGTCTTTCACAGAAGAGATTTCAGCTAAGATTGTTCCTTTTTTAAAAATATGTGAGTATACCTATCAGTATATGTATCTTAGAATAAATGTTGAAGAGACTGAGGTTCTTACGGTGGTGGCTATGAAGAAAGCCGTCTTTGGGCTGTAGCGCCCTGAAGATCTTGTGTGAAAAGATGTTTGGAGGAACGTATCGCCTCCATCTTCAGGGTAGAATAATCCGCGAACAAGGAGCCAGCTTGAGCAGGTGGCTGCAGTCTGCATTCTACAGTCTAGTCCACGTTCCTCTAAAGATCGTTTTACACAAGATCTTCAGGGCGCTACAGCCCAAAGACGACACTTTTCTTGGAACAGATTATTTATATTTCCACTTAAGGAATTAAATCGTCCCCAAAATATTTCTTACATTCAGTTCGAAAATAATATTATATTTACATTATGGTATACAGATATTGGCATAGGTGTGTATCCGTGTTCTATGCACGAAAATTATTTCCTGAGCGCTAAATGTGTAACACAAAACCGGATATAGAAAATAATAACAGGAAAGTATTTTCCACAATAAACGTAGAGGAACGAGACAATTTTAAAATTGAGTAATATCCCTAGCTCATTCCTTTGAGGCTGTTGAAAGTAATAGTCTCATCATCATCATCATCATCATCATCATCATCATCATCAGTAATCTGTCAAGACGACAGGTCCACAGTCTCTTCTAAAACAGTTCCTCCACCTAATGCGATCTAGAGCTTTCTCCTTCAAATGACAGTATCCTCTTCTGTCCCCAAGGTCATCCAGCATCTTCTTACGTCTTCTTCCTCGTCTTCTTGTCACTTCTATCCGCCCCTCTATCTTTCCTTCAATAACTTCTTTTAGAAGGCAGTTTCTGCGTAAAACATGACCAAACCAATTAGCCTTCCGTTTTCTTATTTCGTGTAGGATATTCCTCTGCTCACTGACTCTAATTAACACTTCTTCATTTCTCACATAATCGGTCCAACTGATCTTCTCCATCCTTCTCCAACACCACATTTCGAAACTTTCCAGATGTTTCTGATCTACTGCCCTAAGTGTCCATGTTTCAGCCCCATACAGAGCTATGCTCGAAATGTAACATTTCACTAGTTTCTTCCTCAAATTTAAGTCCAATTTGCTGGTAAAAAGGTTCTTCTTCTTGCCAAATGCAGCTTTTTCCATGGCAATCCTGGATTTAATTTCACTAGTACACCTTCCATCATCTGTTAACAAGCTACCCAAATATTTAAAACATTTCACATTCTCAGTCTAATTAATAAAATTTATCTTGGAATTATAATTGTGATTATGAACAACTTTATGTTAGGCTGATATTGGCGCCGATATCCAGCGGTATATAAACATAAAAATGTTAGTGGTAGGATGTGTAAAATAAACCATCTCCTCTTTCAGTGTCAACGTAAGTGTTACATTCCGTTTTCAGAATCGAAACCTGATCGATCAATCGACTGTAGTAGCTATACGTTTCTGGTGGAAATGCCTTTAACGCTTTACCATAGATACAGTAATGTCAGTATGCTCACTATATCTGTTATTACCATAAATATATAAGTTAGAGTATTTTCAGATACACTTTGCTTCATAAAGAGGTTAGGTGGATCAGTTAATTCAGACTTAAAAATATTAACCCTCTTATATAAAAGGACTTTGAGGTTTCGTAATAAATATCGTGGATGAAAGCACAAAAAAATGCGTAAAATTTGAGGCTTTCACGGCGGTGACTATGAAGAAAGCAGTCTTCTGGGATTTGGCACCGTGTATATGTGGTGTTAACCGACGTTCCTCCGAAACGTCGATTAACACCACATATACACGGAGCCAAATCCCAGAAGACTGCTTTCTTCACAAAAAAAAATCTTTGAATAAATTAGACAAAGAGTACTTCATTAAATTAAGAGAAGGGTATTTTGATTTCAGATTTAAATCCGGAGTTGAGATCACACTCCAGGTTCTTCATTAGTAACTATACACGCCTAAAAATGAACACGACAGTTGTATACTTAATGATATCATTATCTGCAACATTTCTGGGGATTTTTCTAGTTTTCTATGCATATTGCAAATACCGTTATTCTTACTGGAAGAAGAAAGGTGTTGCATACCTCGAGCCCTCTTTCCCGTTTGGAAACATTGGAGATGCACTACTACAAAGGAAATCTGTTGGGTTACAATTCCAAGATATTTATAATAAACTTGCCGGACATGAACTTGGAGGGGCGTTTTCATTCATCAGACCAATACTCATAGTTCGAGAGCCAGAGATGATTAAGAACATCGTAGTTAAAGACTTTGTACATTTCCACGATCATGGTACGTACTTTGATGAAGAAAATGATCCTTTATCTGCCCACCTGTTCATGCTGACCGGATATAAATGGAAGAATCTTCGCACTAAGCTTACACCTACGTTCACTTCTGGTAAAATTAAGACGATGTTCCAAATTCTTGTTGACTGTGGTAACGAACTGAAAAAACACGTGGATCAGTCTGCTGCTAATGGTGAGACTTTGGAAGTGAAGGATATTCTGGCTAAGTTCAGTACTGATGTGATCGCAACGTTTGCTTTTGGAGTGCAGTGCAACTGCCTTAAGAATCCAGACGCTGAGTTTAGAAAATGGGGTAGAAAAATTTTCGAAACTAATATGAAAACAGGAGTCAGAGACCTTGCCATGTTTGTGGCTCCAGCTTTGGCTTCAATAATTAAAATACCTTTCGTGCCTCGAGATGTGACCCAATACTTCAAGAAGATGGTGAAAGAAACAGTTGAATATCGGGAAAATAATAGTGTGAAGCGAAATGATTTCATACAGCTTTTGATCCAAATGAAAAAGGAAGGAACAGTTTATATGAATAAGAAATTGGATGACACGTTAAAAGCAGATAGTCTGAATGATGCTGGTCTAACAATGAATGAGATTGCAGCCCAAGCGTTTGTATTCTTTGCTGCTGGATTTGAAACCTCTTCAACGACTATGAGTTTCTGCTTATATGAGTTGGCAATGAACCAGGACGTACAGGAACGTGTTCAGGAAGAGATCGATGCAGCGCTAAGAAAACATGAGGATAAAATCACTTACGAAGCCATTCAGGAAATGGAGTACCTCGACAATGTGATCACAGGTAAATTTCAATACTACAGTAAGTTTTGTGGCAGCAAAATTTGATGGAATTTCTCTCTGTGGGAGACTGAATCATTTAAAATATATTCTCATAACTTAGTTCATGATTTCAGCACATGTCTTCGTTTTTCAACAACTGTACTTATTTTTAAAAACAAATTTGGATATAAAGATGTCGATATATATTTTATAAAGTAATTAATTCTGCACACACACATTTATATATATTTATTTATTTATTTTTGAAGTCAGGGCATCATGTACCAATATTTCCTATTATGATCCTATATATATAGGATCATAATACGAAATATAGATACATTGTGTTCTGACCTTATAAATACACGTATATTTTTCTGAACTCGTGGTACAAATCAGGGCTGTCCAGCATAAAAATACTGAAGGGCTGCCTTAGTTACATACACCTTACCCAACCGCGGGCCACATCAGTTTAAATCGGTGTGGTCAGGCAACATAACCATTTTAAAAGGGTAACAGGACACTCAGTCAGTGTTGTGAGCTCGACGGCGCTTGAGAATCTGCTGGGCTATGTCTCCATTACGTAGCATTATAAATAATTAAATGCAGTTCAAATATTTATTCGGTGTGTTGCAAGATGAACGGGAGGACTATATGGGATAATTAGTAAGCACCTTTCGTAGGTCGTGCTATAGCTGAGGCGGTTAGTCGCCGGTTTCCCACCGCGGCGGGCCAGGTTCGAGTCCAGGTCAGGTTATGTGGAAATTGTTGTGGACAAAGTGACAGTAGGGCAGGGTTTCTAAGAGTATTTCAGATTCCCCTGCCAATTCTCCTTCCACCGACTGCTCCACACTCATGATCTATCGTCCTGGCTAGTACAATAGGCCAGTTAGTGGCCGTCGTACCAAGTGGACCCTCACTCTACCCCAAGAAAGTAAAAAGGAAATATTCTCCCTGACCGTAAAGCCCAGCAGATCGGACTGATGCGGCCTGCATGACGCAGGTTGAACAGCACAGTTGTACATCCACGTGGAACACAACTGTCGGAGCGGACCTAAGAGATGTATCTTGTGGTGTAATACGTGTTCAACCCCCGCTTAATTTTTACGAGAAGTGCGCATGTACCAAGCACCAAGGGTGACCCTACTTGTTTATTCAAAGTTGTCCGTTTCCTGTATGAGGTAGTCTAGACTTCGTAATTTTGTGTGAATTAAAGAGGTTCATTCTTTTGGGGAGAAACGTTGTTTATGGGCACTTCCTGCAGGTGTTCTCCCCTCGTGATTTAAGAGTCCTCTAAATTGGAATTATCATTTAGAATTCCTACTACCACCCAATACTCCTTACAACTGAATGGTCATATAACTCTTTAGGACGACAAATCAAACGCCCTCAGTAGGCGTGTCTCTGGGTGTCCAAGCACCAAGTTCGGGGTTCGAATCCCTTTAAAAACTCAGACCTTGATAGCCACAGCGGACATTACGCTAGACTTCTCACTTGTTCACTTCGGTCAGACTCCTCACCAGTTTAATCACGTATCATCACTTGTTTCTCGCACTTGTGTGATATTACTGAACTTCAGTTCATCATCGACTGTTACACTCAACAACTCTTTGGAGGCTACCTTTTGCCACCTGCGGACTCCTATCGCATTCACGTCCTTCTACTTGTTCATCTGTCAGAACTCAATGATATTCCTATTGTGACCTCGTATAAATATAATGCGTTCTATGATCGAGGAAACCTGGCAACAGCATAGAGTGGATACAGCATTTCTCACAGATTGCTGCTGTAACTGCCGATAGAAGAATGAGTCATTAGCGCTTATAAATGTGCGCCGTCAGATGGTCTTATCTGGTCACTGCAATATGTCGCATTAATAGTCAGTCTGTGTTAGAATGTCGATAGGCGGGCGACATTCATACTGAAACGAATTTCACTGTTGAACAGAGTGTATATGGTGTCTAAAGTTTTGCAAGGAAAACTTACATAAAATGTATCCCTAAGTTTCGTCGTGAATAACCTGACTCGCCAGTTCCCATAAAGTCGTGTGTATCCAAGCTTGTGTAAAAGTGGCAGGCGACAGGTTCAGTGTGTGACATGAAGAAGCAATCGAAGAGGATTGTGCTGACTGAAGAAAAGTTTCTGGATATTGGATCACGACTACAGATCAGTCCTCGAAAATCGTTACGACTCTTAGCACAGGAAAACGTTGTTTCGCTAGGATCTGCTTTCACAGCCATAAAATTAACAAAATTTCTTCCGTATAAATTAAACTTGTGCATGAGCTGATACAACCAGATTATGTAGCAAGAATTCGTTTTGTTACCTGGCTGCTGCAAAATTGGCACCATGGTATCGTGGATGGTGAAGCGTGGTTTCACGTTAGTGATCATGTCAATGCACAAAATGTAAGATTATGGAGCGAGGAAAATCCTCACGTTATACAGCAAGTGTCATTATATAGTGAAAAGGTGGGAGTGTGGTGTGCTGCAAGTCCGCTTCGAATCATTTGCCCCTTATTTTTCCACGAAACCGTGAACTCTGACTGCTATGTCAATGATATAATGAATCTGTTCTTCAATCAGCTGACTGCTGAAGAAAGACAATATGGGTATTTTCAGCAAGACAGCACTACAGCACATATGGCTAATGCAACCATGGTCGCAATACAGGAAGTGTCTGGAGACAGAACAATCAGCAGGGGACTGTGGCCTCCCAGATCTCAGCGTTTGCGACTTTTATCTTTGGGGAAACCTAAAGAGAAAAGTCTACAAGTATAATCCTCGCACCACTGAAGCTCTGCAGAATGAAATAACACGCGTAATTAGTTCAATTACCGTAGACGAACTTTAGAAAGTGTGGCATAATTTATTTATGCTAAGCAAGGCATATTTGTGAGCAGAAGGGGGTCATTTCCAACATCTGTTATAAAGCACGGTAAGTGTGTGTTAACTTTTTACAGTATTCCTATGAATGTGTGCAGGTACAGAAACTGATGTGAGGGAATCAGCGACACGATTACAGTAACACCAAACATGCTTCAATAAACCAGGAACGATGTTTATAATTTTCGTATCACCAAAGGAGCCCACATTTAAATTTATTGAGAAAGTTATTTACTCAGAAAAAGCTTTGATAATTTCCCGTTGTAGTAGCGTAACTCATAAAAATGCGCAATGTATGCTTTCCGAGATATAATTATTTCATTTTGGATACCTTTCATCCGGACACTCTGCAGAACCTTTTGGTAAATTTGGAGGGGTGGAATACACTTACATCGAACAGAAACTCTCTCCCAAATGAGCAATTATTTAAGTATTTGGTGCAGAAGGCTCGATGAGTCCAGTCCATATTTTCAAACATTATTTATTTATGGACAACTTCAATATTCTGTCACCTATGCTTAGTTCTCCCAGTTTGTCGTTTTATTGACAATTTCCTTCTAAACTTTTGTTTCCTTCTCTCATAATCCGCATTTGTGTTACGAATCCCTCCTATCTCGCTCTCTCTCCCTCTCTAGTACACCGCTGGCACACAGGCAGAAGAATATTTGAATGGAAACGCTGCTGAAGTTAGTTAACGTTTCTCAGATCCTACAAGGATGGAGAATTGCTCTACCACCTGAGCGATTCTTCCTTCCACAAGAAGTGGACTCATCCATGATTTACTTAGTATTTTAACGTGATTGAGTGACTATAGGCGGCGTTTGGAATGATAATCGTATTTATTGGAATCCTATAGATCGTAACGATTATTAACTATAACAGTTTAAATAATCTACACTATTAAAAAATCGCTACAACAGGCAATACACCTTGTCAGTCTGCTGTGTCCTAACCTGTAGACAGATAGAGGGACGGATGCATTGGATGGATTAAATATAGATTAAATGGATAGACGGATTAGACAGATAGATGGATAGCCAGTAATTATCGCAAGTAATTATTTTGGAAAACGAAATATTATAATTTTTAACTCTTTGAATATTACACAGTTCTTGACTACATTTCGACATTATAATATGTGAATATGACAGTAAAATTCGGTTAGATCTGACAATACGATCTTACCCCCCTTTTTGCCTCCTCCTTGCTTGCTTGCTGGTGCTCACACTTTGGGCGCCACCTCTCTCTTACCGCCCTTTTCTNAGAATAAGTAAGTGAGTTTTACGTGAAGTCTGCGTACCCGAATCTGAAATATATTTGTAGCTTTCTGCTCGTACCTCTCTACAAAATATTTACTGCATAGGAAGTGCTGTCTCTTATGTAATATTATCCATCTTTTCTACAGAAACGCTAAGGAAATATCCGCCTGTGCCGTTTCTGACACGAGAATGTACGAAGAAATACAAAATTCCAGGGACAGATGTTGCTATAGAGAAAGGGACGCTAGTCATCATTCCTGTAATTGGACTCCATATGGATGAGAAGTATTATCCGGACTCAGAAAAATTTGATCCAAATCGCTTCAGCGAGAAATTGAAGAACAAGAGGCCTCAATTCACTTATCTGCCTTTTGGAGAAGGACCAAGGATCTGTATTGGTAAGTGATATTTCAGAAACCCTGGCAGTGAAATTAAATGAATAATGAGAGAAGCAATTGTCCTTCTACCCCCTACAAATTCCAAGAGGCATCCGTCTTCTCCTGATCGAACACTGGGATTGTGGGTTTGAATCCCACCCAAGGCATTATTATCATTGTTTTTATTCTGTTTATGTTGTTCTATGTGCAAGTAGTGGCCTTGCGACGGGCTGATCCACCATCCAAGGAGTCATACCAGCTGTGTATAGGAATAAGAAACTGAAAAAAAACGGCCATGGCCAAAAGGGCTGTATAGCCAAAGAGCGAGAAAAAGAAAAAGGAAAAAATCTGAAGAGCACGTATTTTTCCTCATTTTATAAATTTTATATAATTTCTTGCGAGTTTATATTTTATTTAAAATGTGTTCTTGTATATTTTGTAGTGTATTTAAAATTGCTGTCAGTGACTCATACTATGAACCGTCGAATGATATCTCTTACTGAGCAAGTGATGCAGATAGGTATAGTCCATGCCCAACCTAGGGAACCATTCCAGCGTTTGACTTTGTGTTTCACTTCTTGCCGTCTATGTGCAACTAAAGTTAGTTTAAACGTTTATAAATGCTTCTCGTTTGCCTACAGTTCACAATATTATGCTGCAATATTATATTCCGGCATTTGCCTGGATGGTATGATAAGAATCACAAAACCATCAGTCAGTAACAGGGCCGAGGTCCTCTGCGCACACTCCCAGATGCCTATCAGAAGCGTTACTCTCTGAAACATTTCGAACGGTAGTTGCTTGTTCCCGGTTCTAATTTCCTTACATAACCTACCTTAGTTATTCCTCTTACTTCAAAACATCCTTGCCTCTGCGTTTGCTTAGCCAAGACTCAGCAAGTTCATATTCCGTTTAACATATTAGGTACTGGTCACAATCCCTAGTCAGTCGATCGGTCATAAGTATGACCTCAAGCTCGAAACTAATACACGATAACTGGTTTAGAGCAGTCCAAGAGTTTCAGGCCACTTCATTCGGTTGATTTTCCTACTACGTAATTGCATATACCGGAACCCTTGAGAAGCTAAGTGAGGTTCAGCTAGTCAAGAAATTCCCAACATATATATATATCAAAGATCTCGATCCCTATAGTGAGTTATATGAATTCAATATAAAATTTCCTATTTTGTTTCTTTAAGATTCATTTTAAAATTGTCTTCCCATCTACACATAGATTTTCAAGGTGGCTTTTTACCTCCGGGTTGTAAAAAATCTTTCTATGGGTCTACAGTCTCATCCTCCGTGATTTCAACATCATACTAATACATGGCGAGGGGTAGAATCCTGTCAGTGCACTTCGTCCTTATTCTGCACTCATTCTGACTGCGTAATTCGAAGCAATGCAAGCTACTGTACGAAGAGAAATAAGCAATGTACTGACCTACACAACTGTAAAAAGCTCTCCTTGAAACAGGACTTGAAGGCCTATAGGGTTGTGAGACGTCGAGGCTCTCATATTTTCTAGATAATCTGGTCACAAATGGCCGTAAGGTTGTCAGCCTTACGCTCCTCTCACCCTTTACCCCATAGGAAGATTCCTGGTACTAATTTCTGTTAGAAGCTCAGTCGACACCAGGGTCATAGTGCTGCTGGAAGAATTAGGTAAATTGAAAAAATCCACTTCATCGGGACTCGAACCCGATACCTTCCGGCTTGTAGAATAGTGCCTCAAGTACACAACTCTACTTGAGGCAATAAGTCTCTATGCACATTCAGTACATAAAACGTGAAGTTGCTGCTTGCTTAATTATCATAGGTTGGAAACATACTCGTACGTGATACTGAAGTTTCAATTCCACTCGTTAGTAAGCTCTTCACTAGTTGCAGGTGAGTGGTCAGCATCATGTAGCGGCTGCTCTACACCCCAATTCCGCAGCAAGGAGAATAGTGAGTGTGCACCTTATGAACGTAAATATAGGGTACAAATCCTGAACAGCTGAGCTAACATTGGTTTCTCACACATGGTTCTCTCTCATAGAGTTTGTTTTATTAAACCACGGAAAATTTTCAGCGTCCCGTTGGATCTTGTACAGCAGTCTTCTATTTCTGAGCTGATAATATTAAATCCGTAAATAATTATTTTAAATTCTGAGGCTGGATCTCCTGCCATGATCTTTGATTACCTCCTTCAGTCTAGCTAGTATAACTTGCAGATTTCTGTATTCATACTGGTACGCTTTCTCTGGCACAGATAATCTTTTTTTTTTCCTACTTTCCTTCAACTGGATCAATCTCCTCAGAAGTATGGCAGGATATCCTCGAAGTGAGACCATCCAGTCTCAAGGTCTCTACAATTAGCACGTAAACATTTCTGTGAAGATTAACACCATCTACGTTGGATTCTAGTCTAAAAGACCCCGTTTCAAGTTTCCACTGTGCTGTTTATTGCATTTCTCTTTGTTTCCTTCAGCACCGTAGTGTTTACAATTACACCTCCTCCTCTGTCCATTCTGTTTCATTATTTAAATCAGCCTTAAAGCAATGCTTACAATAAACAGACCTAGGATGCCGGTAAAAGTGACTATTGGGGTCTTTTGGGATATGATACAGTGGAGTCAGAGGGGAAGTGGAGGCAACAGGTTCCTTAGAAACATCGATAACCACATACGAGGTACCGAACCTTAAAAGTAAAACACTCCATGGTTTTAGTCCTCAAGTGAACTATACCGACCGGACGATAGCCGTTTGTTGGCGAAGTTAGTGCCAACTTTAGGGGATAGAGGGTGTCACGTGATCAGCGCAACGAATCCCTCCGAATCTTCTGAAGATTAAATAAAAGTATCAGTAATATTACAGGTTACTAGATTCTGGAAACATTCCTCAACTAACCCATTTCATTTCACAACCAGGAAAATTATTTCCTTAAGATAACACGAAGAGAGATATAAAGTGTCCTATTTCTCAATAAATTTAATAGCCACTTTCCAAAAGTCCTTCCGTAGAAGTTCTGCACTACTTAATGTTCAACTTAAGCTACATGTTCAACCCATGGTAAAGTACTGCGAGTCTGTTCCGTAGCTCAGGTGGTTAGTTTGAGGTTCCTCAACAAGACCCATCTGATTCGATCCTCGTGATGTCATGGTTGAAGTCACGTGGTCACAATAATGAGAGCATTGTAAAATCACCGAATAACTAGCCAGCTGCTTCTATCAATTTCTGTATCAATAATATCTGAGTTCCATAATCGCAGAGCTGTATAAATTATTTATTCTTTTTAGTATAAAATATATACCCCTGCTCTTTCGTCACCTCACTTCTCTGACTACTCCACCTTCTACGCTGGTTCTTGCCTTACGCTGCGATTGCCTTTCGATTTCTTCTTGGTTGCGTGTCCCGCTACTTTCCGCAACTCGTAATTTTGGAAAGCAGGGAGTGATTTTTGGGCATCAGTAAACGTATTTGAGTAGCTTACTACTGGAAGATTATCCTGACAGTGAGTTATGGAGTTCCGGTCAGCTTGCTCAGATGAAGTAGAGATGGGCTCTAGTCTTAGGGCGTAACGGGCCTCACTCCGGCAGGACGGGAAGAAATTGATCCTAACAAATTTGTACGAACATCAACTTCGGTACACACGAAACTTCTTTACTGTTTAGTGTGCTTTTAATACCAAATGAGTTCCTTCTTACCACTGGCTTAATTTATCACTTTTTAACACTGTGTTTATTCCTGTACTACTCGAACTTTCGGTAATTTACTTTTGCTTTTACTAAGGGACCGGGTATAAACTGAATAATGGACTAGTGACACAGTTTTGCATCCGTACAATTCAGGATTTGGAAGACTACTAATTTAGTGAATTAGCTCTCCGAAGTAATTAGCTGCTTCGAGCCCAAACTTCCAAGAGGAAGCTCCTCCATGAAAGAGACCTTATTGTTCCAGTTTAAAGTTTGGGAGTTCTTATATTTTCCCATACTATTGACTTGTTCGATTCTAGCTCTCAACTACTCAAAGGCCCTTTTGACAGCTTCGTGATATATTTTCAGCTTGGCGTGGGGCTGTGGCCCCCCTAGCTTCTGAGTTATAGCATTCACAAGCTGCCAAATCTCAGATTTCCAAATTTATGCAGCCGTAGCTCAAATAATTAAATTTTCAGTAATTGTGAATGCTACATCCTGTCCATACAACAAGAATGAGTTTATGTTACTCTCTGAATGCAAACATGGGACTAACTGCTTACTTGGCCGCACCTTACCTCAATCGGTTAGTGGCTGGCTCCCTACCGCGGCGGCCCGAATTCGATCCCGGGTCTGGTCAAGTGGGATCTGTGGTGGACAAAGTGGCGCTGGAGCGGGTTTTCTCCAAGTACTTCGGTTTTCCCTGCAAATCTTTATTACACCAAATTCTCCATCATCATAATCACCCGGGGCCGCCTATAACAGGCCAATCAGCGGCCGCCGTGCCGAGGGGACCCAGTTGGACTCCACCCNAACCCATCTTCTATGCCGTAAGAACTTTGGAACAAAACATTTCTAAATGTGACTTCTTAATGTTACAGGGATGAGATTCGGGCTACTGCAGACCAAGGTAGGCCTTGTGTCGCTCTTGTCCAAATACAGCTTCCATGTTTCCAACAAGACATCAATGCCTTTGAAACTTGATAAGAAAAGCTTCATCACATCAGCTGTTGGTGGCATGTGGCTCAAGATTACAAAACGGATTTGAAATAACTCGTTCATTCTTTGCGTATAAAACAGTTTTCAGCGAAATTTAATTTCGTATTCGCTCTAAGATATTTGTAATTTCCGTATATAATCTTATTAAATTTGTTCCTTGCGAGAACACTGTAGTAAGCTGACTTACTGGCGAAGTGATAGCAAACCTCCAGGCATTTTACGTCAGTAGGCCTTGCTGAAGTTGACTAGAAACTTATAACTTCTAGCCGCATTATCCCCCAAATATTTTATTTGAACATTTTAATGTAAATTGTTGAGCTGACCCCCGTATTCAAATATGATCATTGTGAAGAGAAGAATTTCAAAACCACTCCAATATATGAAGTAATACAGCAAGCCTCTCTGTGCATGAGAGTAGCTTAGGGGAAGGAGCTTCTTTTCAGCAAGATATTCCAAATATGGTTCATTCAGAACCCAATTCAATAAGTTCCAAACCAAAAGTGATCCATTTTCATACATGTAATAAGAAAAAATTGGTGTTTAATGAATTATCTAACTCCACAAAGAAGAGTCTACGCCATAGTCTGAAGTATAATTGATGATATTATTAAGAAAGAAGCAAATATTTAATTGCTTCACGCATGTTAACGCCATAATATAAATAATTCAATTACACATCATTTCATAATAGAAATTCCAAATCACAGAAAACGTCGTTTCAATGTCAAATAGAAATCCATTAATACTGTGTAGGAAGAAGTTGCTAATCCCTTTTAAGAATCTTTCGAATCGAATAAATTAACTCTGCAAAAACAATCAGTCTTTTAATACAATATCAGGCGGTAGGTATAGTCACTATTGTGCTGTAAAGCATTAACTGTGTGAATAATTTGTATTCTGCAATTAACTGCCACAGTCTCATGCAACCGTCTGTATTCAAGACTGTATTAAAGTAACAATAACTTCAACATCATTATCGTGGAACTTCACAAGTTTTGAAAATTTTTTCAGGTTTATTTGTGCGAACTAATTTATTTCATGAAAAAGACTTCTTGGATAGCCAATATTTGCCCATGAGGTCAAGAAGTTACTCCTCTTTTATGGAAGCTGAAAGTTTTTTATAGTGTTCACAACAGCCTGTCACTCTTTCGTTTCCATGTAAATGGAATAGAATTCAAAATCTTCTGCAACATCTGTTTAAGATTCATTTTAATATTTTTATCCGCCCTGCGGTCAGGTTTTCCAAATGGTATATTTCTTCGGTTCCCCATTAAAATTCCGCGTCCATTTCTTATCCGTCCCGTGCGTGTTAAATGCTTAGTTTCCCTCATTCGCCTTGCCATGCAACAGAGATACGCTTTGAAGAGAATGAAGTATGAAACCTCTCGTTATTTCATTTCAGCTTACTTTTACTTTGTTCAGCAACCAATTGAAGTGTGTGCGTGAGGTGTTTTAGCTAGAGGTACATATGTACCTACCAAATAACTCCAAGGAACAAATTTCTTTTTGAGAACTAGATAGTGATTCAGCTGGTCAATAGTTGTCAGCCTTTTCTGGAAGTGGTGATTCATTACATGTTCATAAGCGTTCACCGCTTGAACATACTCTGAGTTAGATGAATTTAATTCACACCCTCAGGTTTTGCATCCATATTAATTGTATCCTTCTTCTGCCTCCATATACCACAAGCTATCTTTTCTTTCCCCCTTTCCTTAACTGAAATATCATCCGATTTTGTAGTCTCCCAAGTTCCTTCTCGTCCACGTTCTGCCTGTCTTTCTTCCTCCCAACACTCAGCAGGAGTTGTACCAAAATAGGATTTGCACTAACGGTAAGAGTTGCAATAATATGAGCACCCATATAAAATGAGGTGATCAGAATTCCAAGAAAATAAATAGAAACTTTAAACAATCCTTGGTACATTGTATCAATGATCTTTTCCGTCTTAATTATCTTAACATTTAAATGTGAACCACTCTTACATACTCGTAGTAAGAGAAGAGGAATATTCTGACATGCGAGGTGTTATCGGGAAGTTCCCAGACTGTTATTATTGTGACTGCCTCGGCGAAAGAAGATGAGAGGGCAGGTCAAGGTCACACTTCCGAAAGCCTATTGCATCAGTCTGCCACGCGATACTGCGCTGTGAACAATCACAGCTTTTACACCAGTGCTTTTTCTACTTCTGGTTTCAATTTGTCTGCGATTGATGGCAAAATCGAGCAAAGTTTCTCCATCAAGTTTTGCATGAAGCTTGGTAAATTTATTACCGAAATCCTTGAAATGCTTAATGAGGCTTTTGGAGAACATTATTTAAGTCGGACAGCGGTTTTTGAATGGCATTCACTTTTCAAGGCCGGTGGAGTGTCAGTTGAAGATGACGAACATTTAGGGAGACCGAGCACCAGCAAGACAACAGAAAATGTTGAAAAAATTCTAGAACTCATCCACAAAGACCGTTGCCGAACAATCCATGGGCTCGCAGACACCGCTGGGAGTAGTTATGGAGTTAGTCGGGAGATCTTAAAAGAAAATCTGAACATGGACCGCACTGTTCCTTCGACGCGCCCGCCCACACGTCCCTGAAGACCACAGAGTTTGTGACTAACAGCAACATGGTTATCGCTCCCCATGCTTCCTACTCGCCGGACATAGCCTCTTGTGATTTCGCTTTGTTTCCCAGAATTGAAAGTGAAACTGAAGGAGAGATGTTTTGAAACAGTGTCTGACACCCGAAGGGAACCACAAGCGGTACTCTATGTCATTAAGGGAAGTGACTTCCACGGTGCTTTTGAAGTGTGAAAAAAAGACATGATTGCTGTATATGTTCCAAATGAGACTATTTTGAAGGAGATGGCCGCCAAAATTGTGTAAGTTAAGCCAGAAATTCATTTTTGACGTAGCTCGGGAACTTTCCGACACCCCTAGTATATAGCACGTCAAGCAGTAATAATTTCATTGTCCATACATCATATGTTATTAGTTGTGTACATGATTACGTGCTTGTTAAGTAAATAGGGAATAATGTGCTTCGCTTGCATTCTTATATATATCTTTTGCTGCATGCATATAGGATCGAGAGTCATTAACAGTCGGCAATGATTGTTCCTCTAAGTTGAGGGCTGGGCTATGGCTATCAGCCCTCACCCGAATATAACTGACACGTTAGATGATTTCTTAACAAAGGTGGAAACCGAGAAATGCATAAAAATTGCTTGGAGTAAAGTTTCTGAACAAGAACATTTGAGTTCATATTGCAAATGACTGCAATATACGAGTAGCAGTATTTGATACTGAAGAGTTTTTTCATCTGGTAAAGAACGCCTTCTATTCCGTTTAATGTCGAACGACGTTTCGGAAGAACATGCCAGCTCTACCTTCTGGGTCCAAGAATAAACCAAACAAGAAGCCAACATGAAGCAGGAAGCAGGAAGCAGGAAGAAACGAACTAGACTGCGTTGTATCCTATACGATATAAATCTTCATAACAACCGCAAATCTTAAAATTATCATTATGGAATTAAAGAATCAAGGTTGTTGCCTTGTCATACTTCGTGGTAGCGTGGTTAGCAACCCTGCTTTACATTTAGGTGGTCATAGATTCAAATCTCGGCCTGGAGACAAGATATTCTAATTATCCTTAGTCGCTAAAAGAAAATTCCGAGGCATCATCTGAACCCACGCCACGACGGCTCCCTTCAAAAGACTTCCTTTCAGTTATTCATTATGACAATTTCCCCGTTTATCGCCGTGAATTTCGAACTTGTCATCTGGGATGTGACTTTCAAGGCCAACGATGGAGGCAGGAGGACTCTCCATAACGCTGGGAAGTATTTACAGCACTACGCATTGTCACGTTGCAAAATTCTGCAATCACGTCTATCACTGAATTTCCAGGCCTTCGACCCAATATCAACCGAGTCGTTAGAAGCTCCGTTAAATAAGTACGTATCAGTAAGAGCGTTAATGCCGCTTCACTCTACATGACAGTATGCCACTCTTGCCAACATCAATAAACTTTGGGGGGAGGGGTGCTCCTCCTACCAAACGTCGGGGTAACCGCACTAAATGGTCCATTGCAGCTCTTTTCCTTATCACTCACTACCAATTACACCAGTCGATCACAGTGACCGCGAGGTCAAAGACATGAACCTTCGTCTCCCGCTCGAACACTGTGGCCAAGGGTTCTAAACCCACTCAAGGCATGGTTGTTTATTTCCTTTTATTTTGTGTTTGTGTTGTTCTGTGTGAAGGTAGCGGCCTTGAGACGGGCTGATCCCCCGTCCAAGAACTACAACGAGTCTTATTGATTGTGTATAGAATTAATAAACTAAAACGGCAGAAGAAGAAGTAATTCTACCAATCAGCCAGTGAGATCGTGGGGTAAGCCACAAATGAGTGGGAAATATCTCGTTTGGGTCGACAGAAATGCGATTTCTCCTTTCCACATCCGAGCTAAAGCAGCATTGACCTTCAGACTTACTCGTCGCTCCGAGATGTGATCCGAGTCTTAAGGTTCAAGAATATACACAACCTTATCATGCGCATATCAGCATGAGTTGCAGGATTTAATGTAAACACTGGAATGTGACAGTCCGAGATATAGACACGACCAGAGACATTGGGAGAAGGTTTTGAGCTAGCGTGTTCTTTCTTTTGAAGAGGCACAAATTCTGATCTTACCTCAGAACTTATATTGTGTACCACTGCTAAACAAGAGAAACAGAGGAAGGCTCATTGGTATACTAAAATGTGTCAGGACACATTTATACACCTAAATGGATTCCAATAACATAGTTGTATTTCTACTTTCCTAGCCTGCAAAAGAGTAAACTCCATGGCTTTATTCCGCAAGCGAACTGTACCGACAGAGCGACTATCGCTTGTCGACGAAGTTAGTGCCAACTTTAGTGGATAGATGGTGTCGCGTGGTCAGCGTAACGAATCCCCACGGCAGTTAATTTCTGTTCTCTAGACTGGAGCTGCTGTTTCCTTGTAATAGTTCCTCAGTTACCCTCATGAGGCTAAGTGGACCCCGTTCCAGACCCAATACTTCTCAGAAAATCTGGTAGCATCGATAATCGAACCCGGGACCTCTGGATCTGTAGCCAGGAACTCTGACCACTCTGTTTATTTTTTAATTAATTCTGAAAGAGTGAACCATTTAGACATTTGATAGAACACCGTGGGTGGTTAACTGAACCATTCGTAAGAACAACACAATACATAACGGGATCGACATGCAACCAGACCCCGAAGGGAGCTGAAATCCCAAGTCTCAGGATTCAGTGATCGAACACCGTACAAGCCTCTGTGCAATTTCTGCGATATGCGTCTTTGTAAATTTAGTGATTAATTCGACAATAAATCCAGAGAACTACATACGAATATGTGTGTGTTGGTTCTTGGTGTGTTTACAGATCTGGTTCATCTACGCAATAAGTATTCCGTCTAATAGATTAGAAAGATCATGATGAGGTACGAATTGGGAAGGAGCTTCTTGTGGCCAATTTCAAGGAACTTTGCTTATATTGGCCTGGATGGACTGAGGAACACTGCAAAAACTCGTAGTTGCCCATATTTGAAAAATGTAATTGCAGAACTATTGCGTTTGCCTTACTGCTACTCCACCTCAAGAGACACCACTTCGAGTCATTCTTCCAAACCCTGGGTATAAAATTTATAGATGGCGCAGACTACAACAGCAAGCACACATTCTGGGGCTCAAGACTCATAACAACAAAAGGCAGAGAACTACATCAAGAGAATCCAAAATAACAATTACTCCATCATATCAATTGCAATATCAACATACTGGCCAACCGATGGAAATTAAATTCCTGACTTACTAGACTTCTTCATAACAAACGGCATCTCTCCTAACTACACAAACGCAACTGCACACTTTAACCTAACATCGAACCACACTCCGATCATAGCAACAATAAGCACATCAGTTATACTAAGGAAATCCAAGCCCACACTTCACNATGACCTAATATCGAACCACACTCCGATCATTGCAACAATAAGCACATAAGTTATACTAA